TCCGAGGTCTCCAGAGGCGGACGCAGGGCACGAGGGGCAGCGTCAGGACACAACTGCACTGACCCACTGGCGCAATGGGTCAGCGGCAGGGAATAAAAATCCCTCGCGGGAAGTGGCACAGTCGTTTCCTGGAGAGCAAGGGGGTATTAATAGGGATAAATGATTTAATACGTGAGCAAACCCTGCCTCTGCGGGCAGCACACCAGCAGAGCATCCCCAGCACGAGTCCGGCAGCGGCACAGAGCCAGAGCCACGGACCATCCCAGCAACTCCAACCCGTGACGGGGTCACGCACTTCATCAGCATCGCCGAGCTCCTCCTCCACTAATTAAATCAGGGTTTGCTTACGCAGTTTCTCTCGGCTTCTCACTGCCTAACAACGAAGAGTTGGCTGCCATTGGAAAAATTGACAGAAAGCTTCCCAGCCCTGCCCAGCCCACCTCCGCCGGGTTTTGTTCTTCACGCCACCGCTCCTACAACCTGCGTGGTGGCACGAGTTCAGGGTGGACAAGCTCAGGCGGGCATTGCAGCGTGGCAGAATGCAGACCTGACCTCTGACGCTTTCACGGACAAGTGCTACCTTCATTTGAGGGGTTCAGAGACTCTCGCGGAGCAGGAGGCAGGTGCCAGCACAGGGATGCCACACCGAGGACTCAGCCGTCCCGGTCCAGGCTGAGTGGAGGTGATGAGCACGGGGTGTCCCAGACCAGGAGCCGCGGGGTGCCAGGTCCCCACGGAGCCTTGGCATGTGGGGCTTTGCCATGAGTAGAGCAGAGCGGTACACTGCTTCGAAGGACCACCTGCCCTATCCCGCAGCACAGGCTTCAAATCCCAGAGCCTCCATCCCGAGCAGCACACGCAGCCTCGGCTGCCAGCTCAAGACAGATGCTTGTGCCAGCCGGGGAGGGCGAGGGCAGGTGGGTGCCCATCTGCAGAAAAGGTAGCCATGAGCATAACCCTGCTGGGGCCACCGGGGCCAGCACCCTGCCTTCGGTGCCAGCCACCAGCGCTGGCGCCGGGAGGGCGAGGGCAGGGCAAGTGGGGACCCTTGGCCCCAGCACCGCTTCACACCCACAGAAGGGGCAACCAGGAGCCCCGTGGCAAGGCAAGCCACACACTGCCTTGCCCAGGACGGCGTCCCCAGCACCATCCAGTGGCACTCGCGTCCGACCGCCCCCGGGGAGGACGGCTGCGGAGGAGAGGAGCAGACAGGGAGAGGGGAGGGAGCGGCTCAGCGGGCTCCTGCCTCCGACATGTGCTGCGCACAGCTCCGCCAGACCACAGGATCTGGCTCACTGAACGTGTGGAAGCAACACTTCTCTGTGTCTCACTTTACAAAGCCCCAAACAATAACTGTCTGTCGCTGCACAGGAGCTTAGGAGAAACATAAGTTGCTGTTGGCATGGCGCGCGGCAGCCTTCCTCTTACACAACACCAGCAGATGTGAAAATAGCCCGGTGCTGCCTTGCGCGCTCCTCTGACCTCCTGTTTGCTTCTGGATCAGATTCCAAAGCTGAATCTTAACCTACAAGAGCCATAAAAGCAAAAGGATTTGGCCCTATCAGGGACCTCTTCCTAATCTAAGACAGCTGCACCTCATGTAGAAGAACACGTTGAGGTTTGTCAAGGCAGGGAAGAGGCTGAGGCAGCGCTAGCCTCCTCTCCACGGCACGGCCGGGGCAGCCCAGCCGGCCTCCCCCCATACTCCAGCTGACGATAAGCTGGAGGTGGCCCGGAGGTGGAAGGGCTGGAAGCTCTTTCTAACCAGGGCCAGCACCCAAAATTTCGCATCCTACAGCTCAGCCTACACTGAAGCTTCCTCCAGCTCCCACCTGCCCTGGCAAAGGGGAACCTCTGAGCACCTGAGGTCCCATGTCCCCGACTCCAGTGTCCCAAGGGCCACCGGGGCTGCCGGAGCCGGGACAGCATGGAAGATCACCTCCATCCACGCAAGGTGCTCCTGGGGTTTCTTGCCTACGTGAAACGCAGGGACTGACTCCAAAGCCAAACCCAAAACCCCTTTGGGGCATACAGAGGGAAAAAGCAGGTGGGTGACAAATTGCTCCTAGAAGTGTGAAAAGTCAGCAGGAGAATTAAATTGGAAGATGTTAAAGACAAGCGACAGAGGGAGAGTTTAGTAACCAGCAGTGAAAGGGCATCCCTAAGAACAACCTGCATAAATAAATTAATCTCTCTAGTCTCCCCAAGGATATCCCGCATCCCTGCTGCCTTGGGACCACAGCAACCCCAAGGAGCAGAGGAACTTCCCAAGATGCAAGAGAAGAAAACAAGACGAGGACATTGCTGCCACAGGGGAAGGGACCGGAGAACGAGTTGTCCTCGTGCCCCATGAGGTACAGGGCTGCTCTCGTGGCCGTGCCAGCGCAGAGCTGCCAGCACCCATTGCCTGTGCTCCGGCAGCGCTCCCCTCTCACCCGCCACACACTAGTCCCCGATGGAAGCGTCACCCAATGGCAAAGCCCTGGAGGAGTCCCACTTGTCCAGGAGTCTAAACCCTGCTCCTGAAAACTCCTGTCCCTCCAACCTTCCCATGCTCCAGGCCAGGGAACACCTCTCCGGTGCTGCCACGACCCACCCACAGGTGATGCTGCACACACCAGGGTCACCCACAGGTTGCTGCAGAGGCAGCCTTGGGTCTACAGGAAAGCTTTTAGCCAGCAGCTGAGCTACCACGTCACCTCACCACGGCACATCGCACATCACCGCATCCCAGTCTTTGTACACGAGTAACTAATACCAGATACAAAACACCTGAACCATGGTATTTGGTCCCAGAACACCACACCCCTAAGGCACACTGGAGGGATTTTTAGCTTTGGGTGACAGTCGGCAGTGGAGGAGCAGATCCTAACACATGGGAGGACCTGCTGATCGCGGCTTGCACGGGAGGGCGAAAGGCGGCCTTAGAATATAATCCATTTCAGGCGCTCTTAAACCTCCCCAGTACAACACAGAGCCCTTTAAGCAAAACTAAACAACTTCCTTTAGCCTAAATAAATATTAAACCTAAGTGATGCATTAATTTACTCCAGTTCACCAAAGGCTAACTCCTACCCAAACTGATCATTATAAAAGAAATCCTATAATCCCTCGCTCCCATTCAGGCTCAAAACATGTAATCCCGCGAATAAATCCAGAAAGAAAGTGTAACAAAATGGGCAATAAAAACTTACAGCGTTCACATCTTTTCATCTACCATTAATACTGTAAACACTCACTCGCAGGCCCTTGAGTATGACTAATCTAATGTTTTGGCTCCCAACGCTAATCGCCGAAAGAGCTCGCCTCGCGGTGTAACACCCGCCCCCGCCGAGATCCAGCCACGGCCCCGGACCCCTCCGCAGCGCCCATCCGCAGCGAATCCCGGCCTCGAATCCCGCAAAACGCTGCCAAATCAGCCCGAAACGGAGCAAGTATGGTTCTAATAGCACCAGAGCGCAGAGCTTTTCTTTTTTTTTTTTTATTAATTTAATGCCTTGGAAGCCTGCAAGCTCCAACTGTATAAATGCCAATAACTTCCCAAGTTTTAAGGCTGCTGAAGTAAGAGATCAGATTTTAGCAAGTGCTTTCCAGGCAGCCAGCCAAACTTTTTTCTGATTCACTAAAAGCACCAAAGGGAGGGGGAGAGGGAGGGGGGCTGGAGGGCTGATTAACTTCAGTTACCGCACAAGCGCAAAAAAATGTCTCCCCGCTGCAAAGGGTGCCGGCGCTGCGAGCCCGGCACAGCCTGTTATTCCTTGGGCTTGAATTAAAAAAAAAACAAAAAACACAAAAACACCAAAAACGCACCGGAGAAATACAGCAAACGCCTTCCAACCGCAGGGTAATTTACAGCTGTGGATCCTCTGCTGATGAGGAGGCTGCTCCGGCGAGGGGAGGCTCTGCTGGTGTTAGGTTCGAGCTGCAGTTTTCAGAGGGGATGACCAAAAAAACTGTGACCGGGGATTTGGGTGGGTTTTTTTTTGGAGGGGGGCAGAGGAAGGGGCTGGGGTGGGGTTTCGGGTTGGCGG